CCTTGGGTAGACCTCTCTCAGATTTGTTCATTTCATGATCATATCTCAATTCTCTAATTTTGGTGAATATATATATATATAAATATATAGGTACTACATGTGGACCTCTCTCAGATTTGTTCATTTTGTAATGATATCTTCAATTCTCTAATTTTATGGAATATTTTTGTCATTTTTGGTAAAAAATGATATTTTCAACTTCTTGTTAAAAACCGCAAGTTCAATTGCTTTGATAATACATTTATAGTTACTACATGTGGACCTCTCTCAGATTTGTTCATTTTGTAATGATATCTTTAATTCTCTAATTTTGGTGAATATTTTCGTCATTTTTGGTAAAAAAAGTGATATTTTCGACTTCTTGTTAAAAACCACAATCATTTATGGTGAAAAATGATATTTTTGAATTCTTGTTGAAAACTGTAAGTCCCATTGCATTGATACTATGCATATTGTTCATTTTAATGATATCTTGTGTTCTTTAATTGAAATGTACAGTGCTAACAGCGGAGCTATCTCAGCCGAGAGGCTGCCTGTTTAATATTTTTTCAACCTTATAGCCATCTCTGAAGCCTAAAAAAAATTAGGTCTATTTGGCCCAAAAACATTCTTGAAAATTACATAAAAATGAGCAAAATATTGCATCCAAATGTGGCAGGAAAATGGTTACTATGTATTGATGTCTACTTTATATAATAAAGAGAGGTCATCATTGTGCCAAGCATTTGTGAGATTTATTTTTTGATTTTCCTTAGGGTTGACCATTTGAAATTATGGGGAGAGGGCATATTTGTTGAAAAAAAAATTGCATGCTACTCAGAGAGAACACAAAATTGCATACAAGGTGTATAAAGGAAAATTTATTGGCAAAAGTCACAAACAAAAATGTGCAGAGAATACTTTAGTTAAACTTTGAACAACAAATAGCCACCATATTTGTTATATGGAACCAATATCACACATACGATAATGATCACTATTTAACTGCAATGTATTAAAACACTATGATTATAGGTATTTGGATGTATGGCATGATTGTACAACAAAGGGCAGAATAGTGTGTACATTGCATGTGTTCAGTGTGTTCGCAAATAATCAGTACTGTCATTGTCTTTTGGGGGCACCCTCTTTAATTTTATGCGTTGCGTGGACTTTACTGTCCAAGGTTGAGGTATACGCCAACGCAAACACTATTGATGTGTGTGCACGCCTATAAAGGTTCTTTCATCACATAAAATGTCATACTGTTCTGCCCTTGGTTGTATTTATATAAACAATAAACACATTGTGTGGTACCAGTAATAGAAGAGAAATATTTTCAATTTTCAACTCATTTACCAGCTGCCATTCATTTATTTGTCTCCCAAGTGGCTTGTTAGTTTTATTTTTGATAAAAATTTGTTTTTTCATTTATTGGTGTCATACAAGTGTTTTTCAATCACAAATTTATGCAATAATAATAACAAATATGTCTAAGGTGGATGTCCAAATATGAATTACACTGTATATCATCTGGTTTATCGTCAGCTTATAAACGATGAAGAACCTATGATATTAACAGAGCAGTTATACTGCCCTGAAGGTGAAGGCGTTGTCGTTAGTAATGTTTCATTATATGTGAGTGATATGGACACTAGCGTAGAAGACTTGTTGTTTACTGTAATAAAGACACCCTCACATGGTGAGCTCAGACGGCGAGAGTTTATTGAAGATCCTATTATCACAGGGCGTGCATTGGGAGCGGGTGCCTCATTTACATACGAGGTGAGTGGTTACATCATTTTCATGCAATGTGTTTACCTCATTTGCGTACACAGTAATTATTTTCCATATTTACATTTGAAGTTAGTGTTTACCTCATTTACATACAAGGTAATGTTTATCTCATATACATACGAGGTAAGTGTTTACCTCATTTACATACAATGTAATTGTTTACCTCATTTACATACAAGGTAATGTTTATCTCATGTACATACGAAGTAAGTGTTTACCTCATTTACATACAAGGTAATGTTTATCTCATTTACATACAAGGTAATGTTTATCTCATATACATACGAAGTAAGTGTTTACGAAGTAAGTGTTTACCTCATTTACATACAAGGTAATTGTTTACCTCATTCACATACAAGGTAATTGTTTACCTCATTTACATATGAGTGAATATTTACCTAATTTATACATTCAAGGTAGTGTAACTGCATTTCAATACAAGCTAAATGATATGTTTTTTGCTGTACTATTATCTGATATTTATCATATGTCTCTATGTGTTTGGTATCAACTTTTTATGTAATATTCTATAGTTTTTTGTGTTTTTTTCACTTTCAAAATATATACTAGTAATTTGATAAATGAGCCATGGGTGGTTTATTCTCAGATATAGTTTACTTTCAACCACATATTTTTATCTATATTTCAGTGAATAGTGATAGCTCATACTCCCAACTGTAATAGACCTTTTATAATTCACAATTGTTCTCACAATAAATCGTAATTGTCAAAAGTGGTATGGTCTCTACCCTGTTTTCAGTGGCCATTTTGACAGTATTAAAATACCTTTGTCATTGGTTTCTATGTTGGAAGTATTATCCATATCTCAAAAAATTTTAAAAAACTAAGTTTTGAAAAGTTGCTATTCTGTGTTAACATTGTGTTTTATGGAATTTGGTATAAAATAGCATCATTTGAACAATATTTGGCCAATTTTCTCAAAATTCAATATTGTAACAAAAAAATAATGGATTGTACAACTTTATGTATGGACTTAAAACCTCACTACAACTATAACTAATATAACAAAACAAACAACTTTTATTAATGAGATTGTAAAATTGTACGTTGTTTCAGGATATCCTTGATGAATTAGTGGTGTACATTCATGATGATAGTGACATCCAAAGAGATTCTTTTGAAGTGTCGTTAACCGACGGTGCGCATGTTACTTCTGATACAATCAACGTAGTTATAGGACTTGTGAATGATGAGACTCCTAGAATGGCAATCAATAGAGGGTTACAGATTAGACTTGGTAAGTTTACATCAAACTTGGTAAGTTTACATCAGACTTGGTAAGTTTAGATCAGACTTGGTAAGTTTAGATCAGACTTGGTATGTTACTGATCAGACATGGTAAGTTTAGATCAGACTTGGTAAGTTTTGATCAGGCTTGTTATGTTTAGATCAGACATGGTAAGTTTAGATGAGACTTGGTAAGTTTAGATCAGACTTGGTAAGTTTAGATCAGACTTGGTAAGTTTTGATCAGGCTTGTTAAGTTTAGATCAGACTTGGTATGTTACATATCAGACATGGTAAGTTTAGAACAGACTCGGTAAGTTTAGATCAGACTTGGTAAGTTCAGATCAGACTTGGTAAGTTCAGATCAGACTTGTTAAGTTAAGATCAGAGATGGTATGTTACTGATCAGACTTGGTATGTTACCGATCAGACATCTTAAATATCTTAAAAATCTTAAATCTTAGTGTAGTTATGGAATTTGTATTTTTATAAAAAAAATACAAAATTAAGGTAATCAAGAGCCACAACATTTTTGTGTCTCAAGTTTTTTTTCTTGGAAACTCCAGCAGTCCAAAAAACTTGATTTTAAGGACTTAAGGACATTTTCTACAGAATCAGTCTTATTAGGACAACACTGCTGGTCACCATTGAATATAGCGGTTATTGATTTAGTCCCAGTTGGTTTCAATCCTGCCAGGATTTGAGAGTCGATCAACTTTCAAGGATTAACGATAATTTTGACTATGCCCTGACAGACTAAATGAGCCAGAGCTATGATTCAGTCAGAAATGAGTGCTACGACTTAGAGGCTACAGAAGTTAATGTTTACCAGATGCCTGTGTTAGGAACCAAGCATAGTAAGAATATATCAGAAGATATGTGACATAATGGAAAGGAGTTTTAATCAATTGGTATTTGATTTTAGGTGAGACCACATCGTTAACTGAGGACATTTTATTGGCTTCTGATGTTGATTCTGCTGACACTCAGTTGGTATATACACTAACAAGACTTCCTGATGCTGGTGAAATACAATATTTTGAACCAAAGTCTGGATATATACCATACACAATAACTGGTCCATCTAGTAGCTGGACTCAAGAAGATATAAATAATGGTAAATATCACTGAATTCAATGTATTGATCTCCAACTGATAAGCTCAAATCCATTGAGAACCCTGTAAAAAGATTTAATTTGAATATTCGTCAATGGTACTTGTAATTATCAAAGATTTATGAAATATTGTATTCAACTTTCCTAACCATGAGAAGCAATTTCATAATTTGTGGATCTTTAAAAGCATCCAATTTCATGGTTGTATTTTGTAAGCAGTTCAATTTATTTGCATACTTCTCATTTGCATATGCTTCGTTTGTTTGTTTCATTTCTCCACTGCTTATGGTTATTGTAGCCCATTTGCTTTGTACTGTGTACATTGCACACTTACTGTGCCTAATTATTTCTGTTAGGGTTATTTTCTGTTAGGGCATCAATTGATGATAGTAGGTTCATAGAACACTGTGGGTGGAAATGTTTTATTATGTATACAGAAATGTATAAAGAAGGGAGTTTATTGTCACATTCAAAATTGAAGAATGTGTGCAAATAAGCATAGACAGTGCCAAAATCAGTCTGAGATGAACACGATCAGTTTTTTCACAGACTCACTAATTTGTAATTAGTATGTATATTTCCCTTGTCATTTTGTGATAATATTGTATGTGATCCTCATTGCATATTACACATGTGCATACCCTTTATATCTTATAACTCCTCGTTATTACCGGATTCTACTGTTAATTCACCCTAGCCCGTTAAATGGCAGTTTGGGTTTTTAGAAAAATAAATTGGGACCAAGAAATCGCCCAGGGCAATTTTTCGGCAGTTTTCTAAAGTGTTATTTCAATCTTTTCTGATGCCTAAAAGTTTCATCGTAGTCATTGACGCCTATTCAAGAGTATGATGTTTATTGCGACTAGCGTGAATGGCTTCGTTTTGACAATGAGCTGTTATCACTGTATATCAAATTATTCTTCAAATGCTCAGTTTATCTTTTGAAAACAACTAATTTTTTTATTTAAGAACAAATCGTGCCGCTTTCCCATCACAATTCAAGCCAAAAGATCGTACAACAACATCGGCAAATCCCTTCCGTGCTGCGTTCAATAACATTAACATATTTGAATGAGTGATGGTAATTTGAACATGTTGGCATCATCGGTCATTTTGATTGGTTAATTAGCAATTTGACCTGTCAGGTCAAAAAACAACGTCCAGGTCAAAACATGGCGGATATTTATTTCTACAGCATTGAGTGTTTAATTTGCATTTCATAACAATTCAACAAATTTATTTTTTGCACGTTGTTATAATCATTACTAGGTAATAATCAACAATTGTGAAACGCAGCATGACCGGATTGCGCTACCACAATCATTTGCTAATGCAGTTGTGTTTGTTTTTATTTGAAACTTCTTTTACAATATACTTTCACTACTAATAATTAAAAAAAATAATTGTATTTGGTGCACGAGGTTCGTTAATGTGAATTTTTTTTAGAAAGATGTGCTGGGTGACACTAATGAAATTTTAGGTGGTCTACTTTTTAATTCAGCAAGAAAAAAGATGTATACAATTTTAGATTAGCTTCTGCAATAGTTACTTTCTTTTTGGGTGGTCCAACTGCTGACGCTGAAAGTCGGCGTAGGTGGATTTTTCAATGAAAATACAAGTTCCCCCAAAATATTTGATGATAATTTTTTGAAATTTTTCAGATGGGCGAATTTATGGCAGAATCCGGTATATATTTGATAAAAATCATTTATTCCAATTGAAAATGTATTTACATTTTCAGGACGAGTCCGATATGTCCATCGTGATACTGATCCAGCTGGTACACTGTTGTTTAAGTTCACATTGTCTGACCCTGAGGGCAATCGGTTAATTGACCAGTCTTTTATCATTACCATATTAGGTAAGTCTTGTTCGGTTATTACCTTATTAGGTAATATATATTTCATCAGCTATTACTTTATAAGGTAAGTCTTCAATTGCTCAGTTGTTACAATATTAGGTTATTCAGTAAGTTATTATGATATTATTTATTTTCCAGCTTTATTACGTCTTTATTAAAAATTTATTTTTAAATGATTTTTTTGATACAATGTATTCTTTCGGCTGTTGAAATGTACTATCCTTTGCTACATGATGATGCAAACTAGATTACAATCTTGTCTCTGTCTGCCCCTCAGAGGACCATATCCCACCCCAGGTTTTAGCAAACAATGGTTTAGTCCTAGATGAAGGTAGCAGCAAGAAGATCACCACTAGTCTCCTTTCATCTACTGATGTTGACAGTAACCCTGCCGATCTGCTGTACTACATCAGCACCGTTCCATCACTTGGACATTTGGAGTACATTTCACAGCCTGGCTTACCGATTACTCAGTTTACACAGGGAGACCTAGCTGCCAAGACAATCAGATATGTACATACCAGTACAGAGGAAGACTATATGGACACTTTTACATTTAGTGTGGATGACGGCACTAATCAGGTGACACAATTAACCATAATGCATTGCAATGTGACTTATTTTGTTTACCAATATTTCTGCTCTATTCGTAGTTGTTTAAATTCATGATTATAGGGAGTGATTTATATAAACCAAATATTCATATTGGTAATTAACATTACATTACAGTATACCACAGATTAAGAAATGATGTTGAATTATTATTACCATGGTTACCAATCCTAGTCACTCATGCTGCTATATTATTGTTTTCAGGTGACACAGACGTTCTACATCACAATTGTACCTGTTGACGATTCCTTACCTCAGCTGACAAATTTTGGCATGACCGTACAAGAAGGTGTACGAAAGATGATTACTGAGTTTGAATTAAAAGCAACTGATGCGGATACCAAGGTTACTAATTAAACTGTTTAACACTTTGAGCGAAATCATTAATTCTCTATTTTCACAAATATTTTTGATTACAAATTATATTTTCAAATTCTTCTTTAAAACTACTAGCCTGATTGCTTTGATATTTGAAGTGCACATAAACAATTTGTTTGATAAAGTTAGATTGGCATGTTCTTAACAGCCAGGTCTAAACTACTGCGGAGCTATTTTAACCGCCAAGTCACTTGTTTTTTTTTATATTTCTCCAAAATACACAAAAAGTGTGAAAAATGTTGTACTAACATTTTGACAAAACTAATTATTGTATTTTAGCGGATTAAACTGTCAAATCTAGTAGATTGGTGTTGCATGTTAGTCCTTGATATCATTTGTTGAATGTTTGGCTAATTTTTTTTATTTACAGGAGAACTACGTCATCTTTACAATTGTACAACCGCCACTACGTGGTCAGATACAGTACACGATGAATGGATTACATCATAGCACTGTTAGCACGTTCTCTATGGAGGACGTTTACGAGAATCGTATTAGTTATATACATGATGGTAGCAATACGTTACAGGACAGCTTTGTATTCAGTGTGACTGATGGCACAAACCCACGTTTCATGGTACACGACGGAGAAATGTTGTAACCACCAATGAACCACAGTGTGATAACACATTCATTTTCTTTTCATTAATTTTTTTTTAAAATTATTATGTCATTTATTTCTTGATTTTGGATCAGATTATCAAATATTTTAGTGACTGATGAACCTGTTACGAATATGTCATACTAGTAGTTACTTTCCTGTAGGTTTTAGCTTTCAAATGAACCAGGTTAGCTTTAATGTTAAAAAATAATAAATCATTTAATAAAGTTCAATATCTATCAATCAGCATGACAGGTTTTTTGATGATTAAAGCACGATAGTAGTCGCGCTGCGCATGTGCCACATTTGTGTTGATAAACATTGATTTTCCCACAATCCAATGCGCTCTTCAAATGGTTTGACTTAGAGGCTAACTCTGACTTGCACTGATTACCGCCGGTGACTCTGATGCCTTCCAATAACATGAAAATTACTTAATTAAAACTTGGAAATGTCTCAATTTGTATTTGTTGATCTACGCAACAGTCAAAGTCGCCATCTTTGTTTATATGAGACCCATATATCTCACACATGCGCAGAGCAATGACTACTGCGCTTTAAATGACCCAGTACCTGATCAAAGTTTGTTTTCTACAGTTGTTTAGTATATCTGTGTTACCAGTTGATGATGGTACACCACGATTGGTGACTAATCTTGGAATCCAGTATCTAGAATACACAGATGACAAAGTAAGTATAATAATTACTCATTGGTCACACAACTCAGATTCAGCATTTTCAATACTGCTTATCTAGATTTTGCAAAGAAAACATTCTTTCTTATCGGCTGGTACCGGAAGTACGGGTGGTGGATATATAATGATTACGTACGTACATCTGTCTATATGTCCATTTGTATGTATGAACGTCTGTATGTCAGTACGTCTGTATGGGGGTCATATCAGGAGCACTTTTGCAGCTTGATATCTATACAGCTCCTAATATAGTGTTATATTGAAGACAATGCACACAACATATTCAATGACCATATACGATCATGTGACTATCATGTGACTATCTAGAGCACTATATAAACATTCATCCAATGCTTTTAATAAAGAGGTCAGGGATTTGCCATCTTTGATTTTATTATCAAAATTATTAAAAAAAAAAATGACTTGCCCAACATACTGGAACAAGGCTGTTTTACATAGGAAAATTTGCACTTATGTTAAAAGTAAATTTAGTAATTGTCTTAGTCAGTGTTTTACTTACAATATATACTATAAGATGAATTTTAAATGTTGATGGTGATTTTATACCATTGTTGTATTCTTTTATAAACTGACTGAGAAAAAGTAGGTGGGAAATTACTGGAAGTAGATGATTAGTTTCGCGTACTTCTAAGGACAACACTGATCTTAGCACTTCACTGCTAATTCACTCATTATTTTAACTTTATACATGAAATTTGGACATCAAACTTAGGAATAGTATACTGTTGATGAATCTATCCCATAATATGCCATATCACAGAATATTCATTTCAATTCTTTAGGCATTGGCTCCTATTACACAACATCAGCTACGTACAATTGATATGGACACAGAGGATGATCAGATACTCTACACACTGACGACACCACCTCAGTTTGGTTTCCTTGAATCCACTTTAGTACCATCAATACCTATCTCATCATTTACTCAAGGTATGCTATCTTGTACATAACTGTTCCTAATCATTCAGTTTTAGTTTTGTTATGGGTTTTATGAGACATTCACTGCTTGTGTACTTTGTTTGTTTACATGAAAATAAATGAGTTCTATTGTATTCTCACACAGAATAATAATAATAATCTTTATTGAAACTATCCCAGAGTGGGATCTTACATGTAGTTGAAAATACAATAAAGTAACACAAAAAACAAAAAAACAAAAAAAAACACAAGACAATCACAGACATTTGAATGTAAAAAAAAAAGAAGAACAAAATTAAATTATTTGGTGATTGGTTGAAACATCTGGCATTTTAGGATTTTTTCTTTTCTTATTTTGAAACAAGTGTGGATGAATTTTCCTAGCTCAATGATTGTTTTGTCATTTTTACTTTTTAGTATATCTGTAAGATGTTCATCATCTGTCCTCAAGTTGTTTTTATTGTATTTAATATTCTTCATCATGATTTCACCTTGTATAGATTACAATTGAGAAAAAAATGCTTTTTGATCTCAATTTCCTGTTTGTCACAAACTGGGCAAATTTGGTCTTCAGCTAAAATGTTATATGTGCCCCTTTCGATTTGAAGGGTATGAGCACTTATTCTGAGTTTTGTCGTAGCAGCTCTATGATTTGGATTTTTGATTGTGGTGAGATATTTTTCATATGTAAATTCTGTTTTAATTTTTCTATAAACTTCGTAACTTGTTTTTATGGTTTTTACCTTTATTGTGTGTCAGCTAGCATTGTGTTAGCTAGTGAGTCTAGAAACCAAAAAATAAAACGTCCACTCCAGATAAATCCACATTTCAGCAGGGTACTGGCAATGTTTTGGGGCTGCAAAATTAATATATAAACAAATTAATTGATTTAAATTGTTTTAAAGCGGGGGAGTCGTTACCTGCGCATGTGTCAGATGGCCATAGCATGTCATTGTTTACAAACAAGCGTCTGCCCATGAGCCTTTGTGTTTTTGGGACTCAATTCTCGCATGTGCGCAGGTGACAACCCTCCCGCTTTAATATAACCTTGTATATAGACACATATGTGCTCCAAATTTGATGATAATGAATTATTCTAAACCGTTCCAACTACTTTCTCGGTGACTTTTTGGGAGGTGACATAACAATCAACTGACATGGTCAAGTTTTGAACAAACCAACTGTTTTTAGCTCCGCTGTCGACTTTGTCGAGCGGAGCTTATCATATGAGTGATTGTCTGTCGTCGTCAGTGTCAATGTTTTACTTTTTCGACTTCTTCTTGAAAACTATAAGCCTGAATGTTTTGATATTTGGTGTATATGTACCTTGGGTAGACCTTTCTCAGATTTGTTCATTTCATGATGATATCTTCAATTCTCTAATTTTGGTGAATATTTTTGTCATATTTGGTAAAAGGTGATATTTTCGACTTCTTGTTAAAAACCGCAAGTCCAATTGCTTTGATATTACATATATAGGTACTACATGTGGACCTCTCTCAGATTTGTTCATTTTGTAATGATATCTTTAATTCTCTAATTTTAGTGAATATTTTTGTCATTTTTGGTAAAAGTGATATTTTTGACTTCTTGTTAAAAACTGCAAGTCCAATTGCTTTTATATTACATATATAGGTACTACATGTGGACCTCTCTCAGATTTGTTCATTTCATGATGATATCTTCAATTCTCTAATTCTGATGAATATTTTTGTCATTTTTGGTAAAAAGTGATATTTTCGACTTCTTGTTAAAAACAGCTAGTCCGATTGCTTTGATACTATACATATTGTTCATTTTCTAATGATATCTTCTGTTCTTAATTGAAATTTGCATTGCTAACAGCGGAGCTATCTCAGCCGAGAGGCTGCTTGTTTCAAATGCCAGTCAATTCTAAAACTTGATTGATGATTTACCGTCCTAATATTTTAAGCTCCCCTGTCAACTTGGTCGAGAGGAGCTTATCATATTATATATATAGGTACTCCAGATTGTCTCAGATTTGTTCATTTCTACAGTTCTCTAGTTTTAATGAATATTTTTGTCTTTTTTGGTAAAAAGTGATATTTTCGACTTCTTGTTAAAAAATACAAGTCTGATTGCTTTGATACTATACATATACATTGTAGGTACCTCAGGTAGACCTCTCTCAAATTTGTTCATATTGTGATGATATCTTCAATTATCTAATTTTGATGAATTTTTTTGTAATTTTTAGTAAAAAGTGATATTTTCAAGTTTTAGTATACATAATGTTCATTGTTCATTTTCTAATGATACTTTCTGTTCTTTAATTGAAATGTGCATTGCTAACAGCGGAACTATCTCAGCCGACAGGCTGCTTGTTTGTAATTTTTAGTAAAAAGTTATATTTTCAAGTTTTAGTATACATTATGTTCATTGTCACATTTTTTAATGATATCTTCTGTTCTTTAATTGAAATGTGCATTGCTAACAGCGGAGCTATCTCAGCCGAGAGGCTGCTTGTTTGTAATTTTTAGTAAAAAGTTATATTTTCAAGTTTTAGTATACATAATGTTCATTGTCACATTTTTTAATGATATCTTCTGTTCTTTAATTGAAATGTGCATTGCTAACAGCGGAGCTATCTCAGCCGAGAGGCTGCTTGTTTGTAATTTTTAGTAAAAAGTTATATTTTCAAGTTTTAGTATACATAATGTTCATTGTCACATTTTTTAATGATATCTTCTGTTCTTTAATTGAAATGTGCATTGCTAACAGCGGAGCTATCTCAGCCGACAGGCTGCTTGTTTGTAATTTTTAGTAAAAAGTTATATTTTCAAGTTTTAGTATACATAATGTTCATTGTCACATTTTCTAATGATATATTCAGTTCTTTAATCGAAATGTGCATTGCTAACAGGAGAGCTATCTCAGTCGAAAGGCTGCTTGTTTTGAACTTGCTGTAATGCATTTAAAATATCTTATATTGTTCAGCTTTAATCTTTACAAGTTGTCATTTCATTTTTTCCAGAGGATCTCAACAATGGTATCATACGCTACATGCTTTACAATGAAGTTGCAGACGTAACTGATGACAGCTTTGTTTTTGATATCGCTGATAGTAAACCGAACATTGTCTCAGACAATGTGTTTCGTATTCGCTGGTCTCGTATTAGTTTTGAGTATGATCATTACAACGTGAGTGAAACTGCTGGTCTCGTACAGGTGACTGTGAAGAGAACCGGCAATCTGAACCAGGTTAGTTATGTTCTTATCCTATGTTATCCACATTATTTTACACAACATTTGTTTTCATATTTTTTGTCTACTATGCTAGATTACATAAAAAATACCTGACTTTGTCAGTCATGTGTATGAAGGAATTGGAAAAAAAATAATGGAAAATTTAAAAAATCATGTGTGAACAAGGTTACAAGTGTTAAAACAAAAGTAATCAGTTGTCACAGCATTTTTGTGTGTGCTTCAAATCATCTATATAGTCACATACAATTGAATTTTTTCTTTCCCAGTAGTATTATTCCTATTACAGGGCATGATGTAGTTACATTAATTTGTAATATTCAATATAATTGTTTTATGTGTTGTGCCATCGATCTACTACACATTACCTACTGAAAGCTGAAATGACACTTACCTAATTTTTGTGCATTCTTCTTTCAGTATGCTATTGTTCTGTGTAGAACTGAGCAGGGCTCTGCCACCTCAGAGGGCGTTGGCTCTCTACCAGGCAAGCATGACTACGTAGAGCAAGCTGGACAGGTAATTAATTGTTTTTTGATGTCCAAATGATGGTTGGAATGCAGAAACCCATTCCGGTTTTCAAAAGTCCATCTATGGTCAAAATAAGTCGTATTTTAATCCAGTTTACAATAAATCTAATTTTTAGTTTATTTGCATGTCGACTAGACATGTTTGCCATGGAGCTTTTTAATCCATGAAATTCTTAATACATTGATGAGTGTGAATGAATGACTATGAGCATTGCTGACATACATGTATTTTAACCAATCAGAACATTACATTTGAACATGTGACATATTTTAACCAATAAGAACATCATATTTGAACATATATGTGATGTCATGCTGTATAATGCAATTATTATCAGGTTCAGTTTGAAGAAAGGGAAGACACAAAATACTGCAATGTTATAATCAATGATGATACTGTGTTCGAAGGCACTGAAATGTTCAAAGTTGAACTGAGTATGCCAGCGTATGCTTTGCTAGGGAAACCACATCAAGCAACAGTGACCATATTGGATGAAGAAGATCGTAAGTTAATCTTTATCACTAGTCTTTTTACCTAGAAATTTAAAACAGGTGTATGTAGATATCTTTTACGTACGCAGTGCCACTCTAAATCATTAGATACAAGTTCATTTTCGGTAACATAGCAGTACATAAAAGAAAAATGTATGTCAAATCAGTGGGTATGTTAAGATGTGTCCTGTGTGCTGTTCCTGTTCCTGTTTCTTTTCCACAGTGCATTTCAATAATCACATGATTATTAATTATGCTGGTTTTTTCTTGAAATAAATGAAATAATACAAACTTTAAGGATTTAATATTCCTATCATTTAATCATTCTGTAGAGCCCAGTATTCAGTTTGAAGAAAGTGTGTTTCATGTAAATGAAAGTTCTGGTTATTTGTTTGCTCCAATGCTGAGAAAAGGTGAGTATTGTATACATCATGTTGTAATGTACAATTTTACAATCATCATTCCACATCAAGTACTCATGTCCAACTAGTCACCACATGTTCGCAATAATCTCTTTATCAATTTCCCTTGGAACATTGCTATATCTTATGGAACATTGTGTTAACCCTTGGAACATTGGTATATCTCATGGAACATTGCGTTATCCCTTGGAACATTGCGTTATCCCTTGGAACATTGCGTTATCCCTTGGAACATTGCATTATCCCTTGGAACATTGCGTTATCCCTTGGAACATTGCATTATCCCTTGGAACATTGCATTATCCCTTGGAACATTGCGTTATCCCTTGGAACATTGCATTATCCCTTGGAACATTGCATTATCCCTTGGAACATTGCATTATCCCTTGGAACATTGCATTATCCCTTGGAACATTGCGTTATCCCTTGGAACATTGCGTTATCCCTTGGAACATTGCGTTATCCCTTGGAACATTGCATTATCCCTTGGAACATTGCATTATCCCTTGGAACATTGCATTATCCCTTGGAACATTGCATTATCCCTTGGAACATTGCATTATCCCTTGGAACATTGCATTATCCCTTGGAACATTGCGTTATCCCTTGGAACATTGCATTATCCCTTGGAACATTGCATTATCCCTTGGAACATTGCGTTATCCCTTGGAACATTGCATTATCCCTTGGAACATTGCGTTATCCCTTGGAACATTGCATTATCCCTTGGAACATTGCATTATCCCTTGGAACATTTTGATATCCCTTGGGAATTGCAATATCACATGGAACATTACGTTGTTTCTTTTAAACATTGCGATATATTTTGGAACATTGCAATATCTTTTTAGCTCCGCTGTCGACAAAGTCGACACAGTGGAGCTGTTCATATTACTGATTGTCCGTCATCCTCGCCGTTCGTCCGTCGTCGGCGGCGGCCTCATCAGTGTCGTTGGCGTCAATTTTACAATTTCAACTTCTTCGAAACCGCAAGTCAGAATGTTTTCAAATTTGATATGCAAGTAACTTGGATGGTTCTTTCTCAGATTTCTTCATTTCATGTCAAAATCTCAAATTTTTGGTGAATATTTTTGTCATTTTTGGTAAAAAGTGATATTTTCAACTTCTTGTAAAAAACCTCAAGTCTGATTGCTTTGATATTACATATATAGGTACTACATGTGGACCTCTCTCAGATTTGTGCATTTTGTAATGCTATCTTCAATTCTCTAATTTTGGTGAATGTTTTTGTTATTTTTGGAAAAAAGTGATATTTACGACTTCTTGTTAAAAACTGCAAGTCCAATTGCTTTGCTATTACATATATAGATGCTACATGTGGACCTCTTTCAGATTTGTTCATTTTGTAATGATATCTTCTGTTCTTTAATTGTAATGTGCATTGCTAACAGCGGAGCTAACTCAGCCGATAGGCTGCTTGTTCAATATTGTGATATCTCTTGGAACATTGCGATATGTATTTCAACATTGCGATATCCCTTGTAACATTGCGATATCTTTTTCAACATTGCGATATCCCTTGTAACATTGCAATATCTCTTGGAACATTGCGATATTGCTTTGAACATTGCGATATTCTTTTAAGCTGCAACATGTCTGTGATATCCTTTTGAACATTGTGTTATTTTTTGGAACACAACCAATTTCACGAGGGGTAATGGATGGTAAAAATGACAATAAGGAAATTGCAACTTCAAAATATCTTTCTCGATAATGATATTAAAGGAAAAGTTAAGCCAAACAACATAATGACCCCTCAAGAAAAAGCTACACAAATGTAGGAGAATGCAATTTACAGTTTTCTATATCAGTTTTCATTCTCTAGATATTCAACTTTTCATTTCTGACAACAGATTTTATGATAATCCTTTGCTGAAGAATCAAGATGGCGGACTACATAAATTGATGAAAAGCTGAATATCTAGAGAATGAAAAGTGATATAAAAAAACTGTAAATTGCATGCAATAATGTTGTTTTCTTTTGTTGCCTAGGTGACACTAGTTCTGCTGTGTCTGCTGTATGTTTTACTATTCCCAGAACTGCATCTGGTAGCAGTCTAGAAGGTTTGGAGTCTGGTTCAGATTTCAAAACAAGGGGTATGACTGATGAGTACAGAGTGGTATTCCCACCGAACGTTAATAAAGCCACGTGTGATATTAAGGTAAAGACTAATTTTTGATATGGTACATTAGGATGGTTGTCTATTTGATCACTCAGTTGATGTAAAAGTAATGTAACATGTAACCAGCATCTTCATTTCAAAGTGTAGTAGATTTCTGTTTCAGAAAAGTTTTGCATGTCATCCTTCTTTGCCCTTACATGTTGATCTGAGCAATGATATAAACAGATAATTTGCTCATATATAAACATACTATTGTCCGTCACTGTTAAACTAAACTAGATGAGAATATTTAAGTCAATTTCTAACTCACTATCTTACCAATAATCCAGCTAATATTTTTCTATGACTAACAAAATCTGGAAATCTTCACATGCTGAAAAAAGGAAAAAAAGGTACCAGGCAGCGAGTGCATCCTTTAGATTGTACCCAACCATTTGTTAATTAGTCAAGAGTTTCAATGGGCAAGGTTGTAATAGTTATGTTATGTATCTGTTTTAGTTGATCGATGATACTATGTTTGAGGAAGAAGAGGAGTTTGAGATTTCTTTGGCTGATCCATCTATGATGACAAATCTAGGTACATTGAACAAGGCAATTGTCAAAATAAATGGACCAAATGATGGTAAGTTATTTATCTTGTCCATGAACCTTTCCCACATTTAGATGTGGTTAAATCCTATGTATAGAAAACATATGGTGTTTTCACTAAAATAGTGAAAGCATATTGATTTGGTGTATCTGAGGGATTCCTCCTCTTAAAATGTAGAATTTACCGAACTAATAAAGGATAGGAATTGGTGCAAAGTGGAAAATCCATGACTTTTAGTGATAATTCACTTAATATTTTTTTTATTATTCTTTTCAATTTTACTGCTTCTATTTTGTTACATCCTCAGTTTTTCATCTTTATTGTAATTTTATTGAGACAATATCTTGGTAAGGATGCAATAAAGATTATTATTATTATCATTATGACTTCACCATAGAAACCATATTCCATTATTGAGATCGTATTTCTGTCAATACTATACATCTATCCTAGCTTCAACCAGACCTGGTTTGCCATGCACAAGTACAAAGTTTCTCAAAGTCCTAATTTTAGTGAAAAAATCATGGCATATTCTCTCAGAATGGGTACTGATTTGAACTCACAACATGTATATTAATTATGGGCTCAATACAACATCCACTATTTTTATTTTCTCTCCAGAGTCTTACATATTCTTGTCACAACCTGTGTACTATTTTGGTGAGAATGAAAAAACAGTTGAAATTGAAGTATTACGGCAAGGCAGTGATCTGTCGCACAGTTCAATGGTGTGGTGTGGAACCCGAGCATCAAATCCGCTGTCTGCTCTCCCAGGTGATGATTTCATTCCTGGCTCAAGTCAGATTACATTTGGACCACAACAAACATTAGAGGTATGTCAGATAAGTTTGATGTGTATTTCAAGTTATCAGTTAAAATTAGAATCAGTTAACAAAGTGAATAATTTCTTAAATATGATCAGAGCTTGTTGGATGAGGCTGCACACTAGTTAATCTTCTTGATATTTGGATGTTGTCATTAACCTGTTGTGGGTTAAAGTTACCTTAGCTGACTTTCGTAAAACAAACCTGAATACTTTCTTTTTGACTATTTTGGTAGAGACCTGGGAAATGATGTCCATTTGGTCCAAGAATACCTGAAAATTTGGCGCCATAAATTATGTCATTCAACGGGTTGAGCATAATTTAATCTCATTTTATTCAAAAAAATACAAAGTTGATGATATATGGGAAGATCTATAGTGCTGTATTATGACTTTAGACTTTTATGCTACTTAAATAAGCATAAATATTTTGATATTTAATATTTAATAATTCTTTGAAATCACAAACTTTCACAAGTTGCAGATGCTGCCCCTTTAACCACTTACCATTATGTATTACAAATTTTTCTTTATTTACAGACATGTAGTTTCACCATCCTTGATGACACTGCAAATCCACATATTGAAGGCAATGAGACATTTATTGTGTATCTAAGTGCTGCTATGGGAGCCACTGTGGCTGAACCGTATAAAGCCACTGTCGTCATCAATGATACAGACAATGACCGTAAGTTTTTAGCATCTCAGTAATGAAGGGAATAGTATACAAGGGAAAAATGTCTGTCGTGTTATTTTCGTTGTCGTCTTGGTCGTTTAAAGCTCCTAAAATCTTACTCTACATAGTGTTTATTGTAACTATAGCAACATATACAACGAATGTAAAGTACATTGTTTATTTAAAATGCACGTCTCTACATCATCTCTTATCATATTTTACTGACTAGATGACAGATGGAAACATCTCATTCCATGGCATCATGTTCACTCTTCCAAATACTGTAATTACAATTGTCAGGGGAACAGGGGTTGTGATGATTGGCAAGAATAAAAAAATATTTGAGGAGACAAACAATTTTGTAGCTCTCAGTAAGACAGCAATTTATGTCTAAAGTCTATTTTACTAACATTCTACTGTTATGGCTAGAATTAGATAGTGCTTTGGATTACTTCAAAAGTATAGAAATAGTAATAAAATTTGATGAAATTATTGTATACAAGAACATAATAAGAATTATGTTAAAAAGTTTTAAAATCCATTTAGTGATCTTGAATGCTTGTGAACCTACTCCAATCTCACAAGTTCTAAGTTGGAGGTTGTAGAAATTAATTGATGAATACAAGACCAAAAATAAGATATTTATTTTCTTTGGTTTAGTTCCTTGTATGCAGTTTGCTGTGGATGAAGTCATTGTGAAGGAGAGTGATGGTATTGTGCATATCCCTGTCGTCCGTACTGGTGATATATCATTTCAGTCTTCTGTTCGTTGTTATACCCGACAACGATCAGCTCAGGTCATGATGGACTTTGATGAAAGGAGAAATACCGATGAATTTAGAGTTGTGTTTCTACCAGGAGAAAAAGTAAGTGTTAGTGTATAATGATGACAGTCACTTGTTATTGTATGTGAGATTTACAGTCTCCATAAATACAAGCGTAGTTTTTAATTTTTATGAATACGACCATAGTGGTTTACATAAAGACAAATCATCCCATTAATTCTGATTAATGCTTCAATAAATGACACAAGACACAAGGTTTTGGCAAAAGTGGAAGGGGGAGCGAATTGCAGACGCAGGCGTCGCAGCGAACAGCTCCATGATGCGACTCGCCTGTGAATTGCATCATGACGCCGAGCGCGTGGTACCTGGTTGCAACCTTCCACCAGCAGAGACTGTACAGGCGGGCGTCATGGCTGGCGTCCCCCTGGCGGGAGCCTGCAGATACACTCACAACCCCAGGAGGATGGACAGCGTGGGTACCCGTGTAAAGTCTGCTTGGTCTGTGGTGGAAACCCCCTTTCCTGTTTATTGCTAAGGTTGTTCATGAGCAGATAAACATGAGTTACACTTGAGTGAGATCGGTAATGGTATAGAAATTGGTATATAGAGACCTTTGCATGAATGGGTGGGTGGGAGGTCTGCTGAGACGATGTGTATCGTACGGTGCGGCAAAATGAACTGATGCTTGAAGAGGATGCGAGCACGGATAAGCGAATGAACAGTCTGGTGTTAATTAATGTAAATCCGACTGAAGGACGAAATGT